AATAACCAAACACTTTACTCTAGGTTGGCTGGAAAAACCAATCTAGAGGTTGGTTGGAAAAACCAACACCCTTCCTAAGCCCAGGATAAGGATCCAAGCTGCATGACGTTTGGTCGGAATAATCACACACTTTATTCTAAGATGGCAGGAATAACCAATTTAAAGGTTGGCTGGATTAAACCAACTCTTAGTACTCTTCAGCCGAGGTAAGTATCTCGGCTAAAGAATGGTTGGCTGGATTAAACCAACTCTTGGTACTCTTTAGCCGAGGTAAGGGTCTCGGCTAAAGAGTGGTTAGTTGGATTAAACCAACTCTTGGTAATCTTTAGCCGAGGTAAGGATCTCGGCTAAAGAGTGGTTGGCTGGATTAAACCAACTCTTGGTACTCTTCAGCCGAGGTAAGTATCTCGGCTAAAGAGTGGTTGGCTGGATTAAACCAACTCTTGGTAATCTTCAGCCGAGGTAAAGATCTCGGCTAAAGAGTGGTTGGCAGGTATACTTATAGTTGTAATGTTAAGACCGGGATAAAGTATCTCGGCAAGAGAATGTTGTACCTCATTCAAGACTTCAGTTAGAAAGTAAAGTACAAGCATAGAGATCAACCGAAATAAGAGTTGGAACTTGAAAGCAAACTTCATTGAAAATTCAAAACAAGTACAAAGGGTGGGGCCTCAGCCCGGTTACAATCTGTGCCCAAAAGCAAAGAAAAGAAAATACAGAAATCAAGCAAAAAGAAGAGAAATACAAAGACAGGCAAACAGATCATAAAGATCAGCATCAAGTTCAACACGCAGCCCGGTTTCAGTTGGAAGCTCGGTTTCGGTCGGGAGTATGGTCTCGGTTGGAAGCACGGTTTCAGTTGGTAGTTTGACAGTTAGGTCTTCTACCGTTGGCTCCGCCCGAGCTGACTGATTAGCAGGTTCATTGACGACCGGGGTATCGTTAGGCACGGTTTCTTCTTCATCATCCGAATCTTCAAGAAATTGTTGCTGAGTGGTGGCAGCATACTCCACAAGTGAGCTCGGTATGAAGTATTGGGGAGGATTGAAGACCTCGGTCTCAGGCCCATGACTGCGCTGCACCACGGCACTCCTCCATCCGCACTTAAAGGAGAGGTCCTTTATAGCTTCACACTGCTTCATGTACAGAGCTTCACCTTCTTTAAAGCCATGGTCTTCCGTAGCTTCCAGCTTCTTTTCGAGCTTGGTTATTTCGGCATCCTTTTTTCTTTCAAGCTTGGCCAACTCGCGCAAGTATTTGTCTTTCATCATGGCGAGGGCCTTCTGTTTATCAGCATCAGTCGAGGTAACTAGCCCAGCGAGACGCGTTACCTCGGTCTCTAGCTCGGCCACCTTCTGCTGGGATACTTTCAGCTCGGCCGCCTTTTCATTTGCCTCGGCCATGGCTTGCCTGGTAGTTTTTCAAAGTTCCAACACTCGCTTGTGAGCGATGTGGTTTTTCTAAATGGCCTGTAAAAGGATGGTAAGACACTTTTTCAATATAACTGAGCTGAAAGTTGGAAAAAGTTCTTTAGAAAAAATAAAGTAAAAGGGCAACTTACCAGCACCATGGATTTTGTGGACGAGCGAAGGGCTTTTAGCTCGGTCAGGTGGTTGTGGTGCCTCATGTTGGCTGGAAGACAAACACCTTTAGCCAGGTTGAATGCCATCAGGTGGTCTTTTTCTGCGACCACTGAGTTAGAATCTGTGATAGCACGGTTTTGAAAGGTGATTTTTGGAGCCCACTTGGAGGAGGTAGCTCGGTCAGAGCACTCCGGTTGTAGGCTCGGTGGAGGGCTTGGCGGAGTTATTTGTGGAACCACGGTTTCGTCTTCATCAACAAGGCGTGGCTTGGTTGTGGAAGTTCGAGCACGCTTGCTTGGCCGCGATGACGAAGACTGAAGGGTTGGCAGAGCTACTACGGTTTCTTGAGTCTGACCGGCTAGCGGTACCGCGGTCGGATTTGTTTCGGCCAGAAGGGCTTGCACGGCTCTCTTCTTGGCCATCTCTTGCTCAGCAATTAAAGGGATCAATCTGATTTGGGGCAAGTTTGGGTCCGGTTTAGGAGAGGCTTCCAATAAGAAATCAGTTACCTTGGTCTTCCGTTTGCCACTATATTGATAGGTCGGTTGAAAGTCCAGTAGCTCGGTCCAAGTTCGGTTTGGATATCGCAGGGCGGCGCAAAGTGTATTGAGGTTGGGGTAGCTGTATTTAGACTTGAGAAAGTTTGAATCTACATAAAAAAGACCAACAGTTAGTACGGTTTAAGATGAGAAGACCGAGGCAAAAGAAAAGCGCGAAATTCAGTCGAGGTAACCCTACCGGCTACACCCTTGTTCCAATTTATTCTATGGCCTGGGGTCTGGGCTTGGTGGTCTTCAAAATTTCCAGATACCTAGAAAAAATTATTATCATTCACGTCTTTATCCGAAGTATCCTTTATTATTTTTTCACGCCGACGCCTTATTCGTAAGTAGTAAACCCAGCCATCTTCGGCCGATCCTATGGAGTATTGATGAAAGAGCTCGGCTAGGCCAAGGTTAAGACCAGCCCGGTCGTTTAGCGCGACAATGCCATTTATTATACAGTAGGAATTGGTAGAAAGTTGGGTAGGGTAGAGTTTGGTTTGTCTAAGGAATTCACAGAGGATGGGCTGTACAGGGAAACGTAGACTGCACTCTACGATTGAAATAACATTAAAAGGGACAAAGCCTTGCTTTTCCCAAGGAACGGTTTCTGTTCAAAAGATTATTCTGTAAATACGAGTAGTTTTTACAAAGTTCTTTCCTAGCGAATACAAGGCAGAACAAAAAATGGGAAACATGTGTTTTGCAAAAACACAAACAATATGCTGTGGATTAAACAAATACAAAAGCTAGAAAAATAGAGCAGATTCGTGTAGCTTACCAGATGAAGAGGACGAAACTGGAAGTTGGAAACAGCACTGGAGGGTTCACGAGCTTTGCAGTTGCGGGATTGAGGAGCAATGGTATTTCTTGAGCAAGAGAAAGAGAGGGAGATGAATAGTGAAGTGAGTGATTCAAAACAAAGGTTTGTTTTGCGTAGAAGGAAGGACAAAAAGCGCGGGACTGTTCAAATTTTGCGAAGTATGAAGACGGCGTGACAGCTGCACTGGGCCAATAAGAATGTGCCACGTGTCCCAAGAATGAAAAGCGATTCAATTGCTGCGATTGAAAGGACGTTTTGATTGGACAGATGGAACCCAGTGTAAATTTAGCTTGGCTGGAAAGGCTAAAAAGTTTTACCTCTGCTGGAAAGGTTAAAGGGTTTTTAGCTTGGTTGAAAGGATGAAAGAGTTTAGCCCGGTCGTAAGGCTAAAGTTTTTAGCTCGGCCGGTAGGCAGGTAATCCCTATCATGTTGCATAGATATAATTAAGGGGCAATTGAGAGGGTAATTTATATGTAAATTGGGCCGAGCTGGGTAATGGGCCATTCTTTGGGCACGGTAAGAAGAGCTGGATGAAAAGGGGCTTGAAGTTAGCCCGGTCCCAAAAAGCCCTATTGTTATCCCGGTCCAGAGAGGCTTGTTGTTATCCCCGTCTGGGAGAGATTTGTGATAGCTTAGTCATCACCTCTGTTATCAGAATCTTACGATTCACGATTCGATTCCCGATTCGATTCGCAATTTTTACAAAATTGATACGAATCTAAGGGTGAATCTATTTTGAAAGTGAATCTCTAGTGAATCGCACGATTCACAATTGATTCACGATTCGATTCACTTTTTACGATTCATGCAATTTTTAAAATTATTGTGTCCGACATATTTTCGACTCTATTTTTCCTCCAACTTTTTAGTAAAAATGACATAATACAACATCTAATAGCGTTTAATACCAAAATAACCAACATATATACATGATTTGTTGTTATTTTAGTGATCATGAAGTTTTTAATAGGATTCAATTAGATTTAGTCAGACCCAACATATTTTTAACCTTTCTTTTCCTTTTTTTTTTCCTTCAAAAAATTGTAATATATCTTCTAAAGATGTTTAAGATTAAAATTACACTATGAATTATCTATTACTATTTTATTAAATTAAATATTACATGTATGAGATTAGTTATACTTTTTAAAATATTTTAGGCTTAAAAAAAAAAGATTCTAAATGATTCTTTTTTATTATTTGTTCACTGTTACTTAGAAAAGTATGTATGCTTATTGTCCAAATATCAATATCGTTATTAATTATTGTTATTTTAGAAATTGATAGTTTGTCTATTTGGTTATTATTTTTATTAAGAATAGTTGATAAGAAATATCTAAAAAGAAAAAAGGTAAAATGGTGATCTTACATAGGAACATTTGTTAACTTCTTACTTATTAAACTACGTGTTTATCATTCAAAATAATATTATCATTAATTTAAGTCTAAATATTTTATATTCATAAGATATATTTAACATCTAAATGTGTAAATATATGTTTTTAAATAATTTAGAAGAAGTGATCGAATCTTTATGATTCACGATTCGATTCGATTCGCGATTCGGTACGAGACCATTTCGATTCACGATACGAATCCCGATTTGACAACTATGGTCATCACACTCAGAATTAGCCCGGTCGTGACATGTTACGGTTAGCTCGGTCAAAACCTTGCTATTTCTTAGCTCGGTCCAAACACACCATGGTCTGTAGAGGAGAAGCCGAGGTAAGAGTAGTGAATGGAAGAAACCGAACTGGCTTTAGTTCAGTCTACTCTGCGATGCTTACCTCGGTTATATTAGGATCCGACCATGGTAAAATCATCTCACTTGGTTTAAGCAATAAGGGGGGTGTTGAAGGATAACATTATCTTTCAGGAATGTGACCTCTAGAAGGATTCTACAGAGAGGAGTAAGAGTCTTACTAGGATTGTGCCACATGGAACCTATAAAAGCTCACAACATCACCTATGGAGAGATAACACAACTTTGATTCCCGAATTCACAGAGCTTTTTGTCTATTTGTCTATTTTGCTGACTTAGGCATCGGAGAGGCATCCGGCACACACCTGCTGGCTAGCTCACGTTTGTGCTTTCAGGGAGTAAAGCGACGACGTATGGAGGAGCGCAATCTTGATCAACAGGATTATGCGAGAAAGTTTATTTCTTTCTCGTACAATATCTTATAGAGGTATATTTATGTAATTGATGTTTACCACATTATACATTTGTCTGCCACTTTTTGGCCTTTTTTTTTTTTTTTTTTTCTGATTTATTTGAGTGTTGTCAATGGATTAATGAATACGAACAGGGCTGCTATCGAATATGAAAAAGAGGCACATGCTAGTAACCTTGAACAAGGTGAGGCAATGGAAAAAAATATGATCTCCATGGATCATGAAATTGAGAAAATACGTGTCGAACTTGCTAATGCAGAGAAGAGTTGCAGCAGCTGCAGCAGAGACTTCAAGTAATTTATCTCAAACTCCTTATTTGTTGTTTTTGTGTTGTGCTTGGTTTAATGCAATGTTCGACATTAGGAATTGTTTTAGCACATCCAAACAGTGAACTGTGAGAATTGTTCATATGCAGGTCCTAGATATGTTGTAGGGTTCGGAAACCCTAAAATGAGGTATGGTCGGAGTTCATATCCTGATGTTTATGCTATGCATCAGGTATGTGCTGATTGATGTTTGTCTCTTAATAAGATGAAAATGCTAGTGTTTGTTGTTGTTGCTAGTAATTAATTTGAACTCCAGCCAGAGTAATAATCACTTGATCCGGACAGCGAGTTTCCAAACCTTTCCATGGTCACTATAAATGATCCCCCAGTTAAAAGTTGTAGATTGAGATCATGATTGGGCCATACTATGGTGACATTGAAGGAAGATTTGACTCCCATCTTAAAATCATTGTGCTTGGAAGCGTTTCATTTTTCTTTTCTTTTCTTTTTTTCTTTTTTCTTTTTGTTGACAATTCTGTGAATCCTTTTTTTTTTTTCTTAATCTCCATTTCAGCAGTCTTCTTTGATTTTTAGAAGTTGTTGGCATGTGGTTTATGCATTTATGTTATGCTAGTGTGAGTTTATTTATTTGTTTTGGATTAGTAGTGAATATGAATTTGGTTGACATTTACGTGAATTTGGAATTCTGATGTGATTTGGTTGAATTAATATATATATATATATATTTTTTTTTTGTAATATTGTTTGATGTTGTATAGAGTAAAAAATGATTTTGTAGTGATGCAAGGAATTGAATAAAACAAGTAAAATATCCTAGGAGATATAGAAACAAGATAATGAATGTATATATATTAAAAATAACCTTCTACGACATATAAAATTATTCCATGAAAAGTGTAGTGATTTATGACAAGCAAAAAAAATCGTAAAGATCATATATGGCATACAAAATATTGTCATAAATATATTATAAACAACCTTTTACGGCATGCATATATGGCATACAAAGTATGCCATAAATATTTTAAAAATAGCATTTTACGACATACAAAATTATGCTGTGAAAAGTATAATGATTTATGACATGTAAAAAAATGTCGTAAAAGATTATATACGGCATACAAAGTATGCCATAAATGTTTTTTTACAACTTTACATGTATGTTGTAAATGACAATTACCTTTCCGCACTATGTAACATAACGACATTTGTGTGCATGCCGTGAAAGAGTTTTTACAACATACATTGCAAGTCGTAAAAATTCAATTTTGTTATAGTGATTATTAACAATGTTTTCTTCATTTTTTTTTAATTATTTTTTTTATTGCAAGTAGCTAGAGGTGTAGTGATGCGTATTTATGGACCTGAGTTTGCCGATGTATTAATTCTAAGTTGTGCTTATACGTGGAGTTTTTAATATATTTCGCATTGGACAAATATGAAATGCTCTTGGATATTAATGGTATTTGAAATCTTTGATGGTTTTGATAAATATGTTTTTGATATAAATTCGTTGTAAACTAAACGAATGGATGGTTATTTTGGACTTGTAATACGTTCATGTTGGCAAGTGGTCGTAATTAGATAGATTAACTATTATTTTGATTTTATAGTTGATGATTTTTTGTTTCTAGATTGGGTTGTTGATGGATTGATATCTTGAAATTGATTGGATGGACATGAATTATGCATTAATTGTAAATTTATTATAGGTATTAAAAAAAAAATAGCATTAGATTTAAAAAATTAAATTTTGAAGTTGAAAGCTCTTTTGCGACCAGTAAAATTTTAGTCGCAATAGGTGTTTGAGAAGGTTCTAGGAATAACTATTGGTGACCATGTATGTGGTCACTAAATAATGGACTTTTAATGACTAAATAAATAGTCACGAATTCGAACTTTCAACAAATTTAAACCCTTTTAGCGACCAAAATAGGTAGTCGCAAATGTTAACTTTCACAGCGACCAAATTTTTGGTCACAAAATGATCAACTTTTGACAAATTAAAATCCTTTTAGCGACCAAAATATGTGGGTCGCAAATGATAACTTTTCGTGACCAACTTCACTTCTGGTCGCCAAAAACCTTATGTGACGGGCTTTTGGCGACTAAGGGGTTGTTTGGAGTGTTCTAAATAAGTGCACTTTTTGTCTTTTTAGACAAAAAAGTTGAGGAAAAAAAATATGGATGTTTGGGTTAACTTTTTGACTTTTTATGAAAAAATGTGTAATAAAAAATTATAAAAATTGGTTTATAGGGAAAAATTAGGATTGGGAGTTGTGCCTGGTCGCCAAAAACCTTATGTGACGGGCTTTTGGCGACTAAGGGGTTGTTTGGAGTGTTCTAAATAAGTGCACTTTTTGTCTTTTTAGACAAAAAAGTTGAGGAAAAAAAATATGGATGTTTGGGTTAACTTTTTGACTTTTTATGAAAAAAAATGTGTAATAAAAAATTGTAAAAATTGGTTTATAGGGAAAAATTAGGATTGGGAGTTGTGCAGCCGTAATTGTTGACTTTTGATGAATAGTGTTAATTTTTTAACTTTTTGAGTAACTTTTTGATTTTTTGGATTTTTTCATACTATCCAAACTTGGCCTAAATTGCTACTAACTTTTTTTGGTCGCGAAAAACTATTAGCGACCAAATATGAGCTTTCTGCGACCAAGAAGTTGGTTGCTAAAAGTGTTATTTCTTGTAGTTTCTGTTGTTGGTTTTGGTTTTAGTGAGGTTTATGTGTTTGTTTACATGTTTGTATGGTGGAGAAGAATTATTGGTGATTGTGGTTGCAATCGAAATATCTATATTCATTCTGTGCAAGGATTTTGACCGGATTTTGTTTTTTTAATGAAGACCATAAAATTGAAGTAAAAATATGAGTATCAAATTTTTTATTTTTTATTGTCATTTTATTTTATAAAAAATGTGAAAATTTATTAAGAATTCAAGATTTTACTATAACATTAGATTTTTGTATAACTAGATAAATTTAAAACTTTTAAATATCATTGTGGTCTTTATTTTCATCCTCTTTCTATTCCATTATACCATTTACTGCTATTTGTTAGTTTATTAATTATAATTCAATTAATTGAAAATGAAACCTTAATATAACTTTTTATAATTCAATTAATTGAAAATAAAAACTTAATATAACTTTTCATATGTATTATAGTTAATTTGTTACAGCTATAGTTGTATATAATAGCATAATATATATGGATAATCTCTAAATATAATTTCTATTTTTTTATGTGATTAAATAATCCATCTTAAATAGTATATATAAGAGTTAGATGGATAATCTCTAAAAAACCCAATCTATTTTTTTTTTTACTTTTTAATTTTTTAAATTGAAACATCAATTGTTTATGTCCATAAAACAAAACTGACAAATATAAATCCAAAAGTTACACATTTTTTTTTTTAAATATGTAGGGTATTTACAAATGGAAAATGTTTGACACCTCAAAAAAAAATTTTTGTTTCATAATCTAACTTATAATGATATAGTCATAATTGTCAATTTTTATACAAATATGATAAGAGACTTAATTAAATTATACATTTCAACAAATCACATACTCAAACTTTGACTATTTCAATATGTTATTTCATTATAATTCCAATTAAGAGAATCTTTAACCCTTAATTTTTTTTCCTTATCATATTATAATTTGAAAAAAATTAAAAAAAGATGAAATGTTGAAAATTATTGTTTTTTCCATCAAAATTGGTGAAAAGAAAAAAAAAATGGAATAAGAATGAAAGTTCTTTTAAAAATTGACAAAAATTTAATGAAAAAGTTAAAGTAATTCATATTAAATCAAAATATTTATTCAATATTAAAATCAAATTCGATAAAAAAAAAGAAAAGAAAATGATGAAAGTTTGAAAATATTTTGAAACCTTCTTATTCTTAAAGACTAGAAATCCGTATGTGTATTATATTCAATTTGTAAATTAGTTATGAAATTGAAATTAAAAAAAAATGTGATTTAAATTATTAGATTAATAATAGAAACATCATATTAATTTTTGTTAAATATCAATTCACTTCATATTTAATAATAAAATTGAATATTTGTCTCAATTATAATTTTTAAATTTGCATATTTTCATAACAAGAAGAGGTATGTCATAACTCATTTAATCCCATTTAATCAGGTTTAACTTTTTTTTAATACACATTATCAAAAGAAAAATGCTTGGGAGCACTAATTAGGTGGCAGTGGGTCCTGTCATTAATGATGTGATGTTTTGGTCTTGGAGTTGTGTATTTTTTTTTTTTTACTTTTTTAATGCATTAGTGCTATTAGTGATGATGTTTTTAGTGGGATGAATCATTGTTGTATTAAAAGTGAGATTCAAAAATATGTGTTAAGAATTTGTGAATTTAATGAGTGAAAAATATTAAAAGTGAGATTCAAAAACACGGGTTAAGAATTTGTGAATTTAATGAGGAAAAATGCTTCGGACCTCCACTAGGGGGTCGACCCTCAGTGAGGTGGCAGTTCGTGATTGGGTCAAAAAAAAATTATTATTCAAAAATTTAGATATTCTTAACAAGTATTTGAATTTAAATTACAAAACATCATACTCAATAATATAAAAAAATAAAAATAACTTTTTTAATTTTTTTTTGGATAATCGGATATCCGAGTTAAATATTTTTCAATAGTTGGTATAAGCTGCACTAGAATTTCTCATTTAAACGGGTTAAGATTTTTTGTCCAATTTGATGGAGTGATTATTTATTTTAAGGCCTCATTTGAGAATAAATTATTTTAATAATTTTTTAATTTTTTACAAAAGAATATATAAAAAAATAAAGAAAATTATGTGACAATTTATAATGACATTTTAATTTTTTAATTAAAACAAAAAATTACCAAATGAGACCTAAGCCCAAAAACATCAAGTTCGATTGGATGGGCTATCCAGCCACGCCCACACAAAAACTTGTCAATAGTAATATACAGATATGATGATTTGGTGAGAGCTTCTTGCTTAAGCACTACTATTGCAAAAGTGTTACATATTTAGAATTTTTATTTCGGAAAATATAATTAAAATAAAATATATGGCATAGATTTAAAATTAGTGTATTATGAGTCATATGATCCATAAATATATCACCCAAAAGGTGGGGTTCTATATATAACTTCTCTCCAATTTAAATGTTACGTATTAAATTTTGAATATTATTTCATGTATTATTAATGTATTAATATAAAAAAGGAACCGTTATTCTCATTTCACTTTATTCTAATATACTTTCTTCTTTTGTCTTTATTATAAATAGTTATATAAATAGCTTTTCACACAAAATTGATTGAGGCATGTGCAAAAGTTAAAAAAAAGAGAGTATAATGTAATTATGTATAATAAGGGAACAAATAAAATATATTTGAAACAAAATACAATGAGAATAACGACTCCCTATAAAAATATGAAAGGTGAAACCAATTTAAATCAATAAAATAATAACACATCTTAATAATCGTAGAAAGTAGGATTTTTTTTCAAAGTGTTTACTTCTTTTTGGTCTGAGTATGGATAGAATAGATCTAGTTCAACTTGTGGGACTCATTCTAATGATTTAAATCGCTAGTTTTGTAATATCTTTATTGATCATTTATATAAAGAATTAGATTGATCTGACAATCATAATCACATAATTTTATCTTATTTATTATAAAAAAGAAATAATTTATTTTTAAAATTATATGTATTGTTGTTTATATTTTGAAGATGAATTCGAAAAAAATTATAAGATTAATGTGATTTTTTTTTTTTTTTTGGATTTATTTATAGAAGATCAATAGATGATCGGCTCTTTATTTATGAGGTATCCAAAAAAAATAAAATAAAAAAATGATCGACTCGAATTAAATTAAAGTGAGACTTATAACCAAGTTAAGAGACTACAGATTGAGGCTTGGGTACACAAAAAATTAAAAAAATTCTATTTCTTTCTACTTTGTACATTTTTTTAAAAAAATTTTGTAAAAAATTAAAAAAATATCCTAAATATATTAATTTTTTACCTTATATTATAGTCAAAAATTTTAAAAATTATTAAAATAACAAATTTTCAAACCATACACAAAAAATAAGCAACATATTAGTTTATTTAAGTTACATTATGTCTCTGTTTTCTGGATGTCTTTTCGTCATTAAAAAAAAAAAAAAAAAAACTAAAAGATAAGCCATATACAAAATAATCCTCAAATTGATTAAAAAATTTAGGACAAATTACAGTAACGGTCCTTATAATTTGGGTTTTGTGTTACTTTAGTTCCTAACTTTTTAATTGTGACAATCTTGATCCTAAATTTTGAATCTTGTTCCAAATAAAGACAATTGAAGATATCATTGCTCAATTTTAAGGACAAACTCATCAATTTGATAAAATATAAACTAATTTGACAAAAAAAAATGTCAAAAAAATATTTTTGAATTTTTAAAAATTATTTCTATCCACCAAAGATAAAATTGTGTAAAATTGATAAATCTTTTAGATATTTATTTATTTATTTATTATCAAATTAATTTTTATTATGTGTTTGAATGATGATCATGTAATAGGTGGTTGTTTTTATTTTTATTAAATTAGTTTCAATTTTTTCAAAAGTCAAATATGGCAACAACTTTGATATCATTTTTAAACCAATCTATTAAAGCAAAAAATCCAATACTAAAAATATTTCATATATTAAATATATCGATTACACATTAAAAGCTTAAAAACCGCCTATTACATGATTATCATCCAAACACATAATAAAAATTAATTTGATAATAAAATAAAATAAATAAATGTGCAAAAGAGTTATCAATTTTACAAAATTTTATCTTGAATAGAAATTATTTTTAAAAATTCAAAAATATTTTTTGACTTTTATTTTTGTCAAATTAGTTTACATTTTATCAAATTGACGACTTTGCTTTTGAAATTGAACGATGGTATCTTTAATTATCTTTATTTGGAACAATATTCAAAATTCAAAATTAAATATATCACAACTGAAAAATCAGGAATTAAAGTAATACAAATCCCAACTATAAGGGCGGTTAGCGTAATTCACCTAAAAAATTGATACATTTATGGAAAATTTACCCATAAGTCCTAGTTTCTGAAAAGTTGAACCATTTAGTCTTAAAAGTTTTCTTATGCTCCATTTAATCTAATGTTCGAAACATTAATCTGATGTTCGAAATCTAATGTTCGAAACATTAATCTGATATTTGAAACATTGTAATGGGACCTTTCAGTCTATAAAAAAAATTTTAGGACTAAACAGTGTATAAATTATTAATTTGAGATTTATTAGAACATCCCCTAGATTTATTACTAATATGCAATTATTTTCCTCAAATTCCACTGAAATGATATTTTTGCAAATTTCGATTACACGTCATGGCATGTGTGACAGAGTAGACCTGGCACACGGAATCAAGAAAAATTATTTGGAGTTTTTGAGGGCCACCTAACGATATTCTTACACCTATTTAACATTATGTTGGTATTTGAGATGTTGCTATTTTAATAAATTATTTTAATTTTTGATTATTTTTGTAATTAAAATTTTTGTATTTAGAAAGATAATTAAATTTTTTTATATTTAGATGCGATATTTATGAGAAAAAAAATAAAATAATTATGAATTTATGGAGTTTTTGAGGGCCACCTAACGATATTCTTTACTTACAAATTTTTACACCTATTTAACATTATGTTGGTATTTGAGATGTTGCTATTTTAATAAATTATTTTAATTTTTGATTATTTTTGTAATTAAAATTTTTGTATTTAAAAAGATAATTAAATTTTTTTATATTTAGATGTGATATTTATGAAAAAAAAATAAAATAATTATGAATTTAATGTGATCTTATTAATTATTTTAACTTATTTTATTATTTTGTAAATTTTAATCTAAAAAATCGAAAAAAATAACTTTTACCCTTAATATAAAATTATAGAGCTCGCCTCTTTCAACAATTACCATATCCTTACACCATACGAGGGACCAATCAATAACTTCTCCGGAATCAGAAGCTTTTACCGTTTTGACTATCATGCGCTTCAAGTAAAGTACACGGCAATTGGTTTTGAAAATTACTCTTCTACAAAATAGTCAAAATTAGCTTAATTATTAATGAAAATATATTTATAACATTATTAAAAAAATTAATTTACTTAAAAATTTATTAATAAAATTTATTATATGTTATGCGATTAAAAATTTAAAAAGATAAAATGTAATTTTTAAAATTATAAGAAATAATCCGTATTTTAAATAAGTTATATATATATATATATATATATTGGGTAAATTACACTTTGCCCTCTAAAGTTTCACCCGTTTTCTATTTTGACTTTTTAAGTTTAATTTTTCTCACTTTGACTCTTCATGTTTGCAATTCTTTCCACTTTGGCCTTCTAAGTTTAATTTTTTTTTTCACTTTGGCCCTTCATATTTACAATTTATCCTATTTTAGCCCTTCATATTTGCAATCCTTCTCACTTTATTTCTAGATTAACTTCCATCCAAAAAACTAACAGAATCGGTCATATCACTAACACATCAGCTCCATTTGTGATATAAAAAATTCACTAAAGATGCAAAAAATAAAAAATAGAAAACAAAAAAATTGGAGTTTTTTGTAGTTTTTAGTGAACTTTTTTTTTTTCAAATTTATTCATAAACATTATTACATTATAGATGCATCTAGACTAGATGTACCTAAAAAAAATAAAAAAAAAATTAACTAAAAAAAGAAAAAAGTTTATTGATGACAAAAAAAATGAAAATATACTGATTCAAACACCTGTATTATCAATTCTGAAATGAAAAATTTGCTATCGTTTTTTTTTCGTCTTTAGTGAACTTTTTTTTTATTTTTTTATAGTTAAATATGTTTTTATTTTTTTAGTTGCATCTAATCTAAATGCATCTATAATGTAACAATGTTTACGAACAAATTTGAAAAATAAGTTCACTAAAGACTAAAAAAAAATTCCATTTTTTTTGTTTTTTATTTTTTATTTTTTGTATCTTTAATGAATTTTTTACATCACATATGGAATTGATGTGTTAGTGATGTGATAAATTCTGTTACTTTTTTTTATGGAAGTTAGTCTAGGAGTAAAGTGGGAATTGCAAACATGAAGGGCCAAAGTGGGAAGAATTACAAACATGAAGGGCCAAAGTAGAAAAAATCAAACTTAAAGGGCCAAAGTGAGAAATGGATGAAACTTTAAGGGGGCAAAGTGTAATTTATCCATTTATAGGATCAAATTGTTTCTAGTTGGGTTTCTTGACAGGATCATCCTATTGGGTCTCCATAGACCCATCACAGACCTCACATTGATGATCCGAACTATACAATGTGTAGGGCTCGTTGAATATTTTATTCCTATTAAAAATCATATTAATCAGATATCAATAGTCATTTGATCAAATCACATTTATGTTAATAATTTATTTTTAAAATCATAATTAGCGTTGACACAAATTTGATTTGATCAAGTGACTATCGATATCCAATTAAAATGATTTTTTATACAAATAAAATACTCAACGAATGCTAAACGTTAAATGATTCAAATCATCGATGCGAATTCCGTGATGTGAATTCCATGGTGAGTCCATAGAACCTAACAGCACGCTCTAATCGAATTTTGAACTGCAGACAGCCTGGCCGATATATTATATTTGGTTGTAATCGTTTTCCTTGTAAACAACAGAATCCCAGGTCTCGAAGACTCTGGAGGCCACAAATTAGTGAGAGAAAGCTCACACAGAGAGAGAGAGAGAGAGAGAGAGATATGTCTGGAGAAGCAGGGTTACGGAGCCTTGAAGATACACCAACATGGGCAGTGGCAACTATTTGTTTTGTTCTGATTTCAAGCTCCTTAGGGTGTGTTTGGTAACGTTTATTTGTGTTTTCATTTTTTGACCAAATTTATAAACTGAGACCACTGATTTATAAATCAAAAATTTTACCAAACAAGTTTTTATTTGAGTTTTTAAAATTTTTGTAAATATAAACAGAAAACTGAAAACGTAAGTGTTACCAAACGACACCTTACTAATTGAGTATGTCCTTCTTCTCTTATCCAAGGTATGCCCTTCTGTGTGTGTGTGTGTGCAGACATGCATGGATGACTCGTCATCCTCATGCAAATGATCACAAGCAAAAGTTTATGAGTTCATTGATTGGTATCTCTTTTGAATTGAAAACCAGTACTTCAACAAGAAGAGGAGGAAGTCTCTATTTCAAGCTCTTGACAAGATCAAATCAGGTGACATGACAATAACACTATCATATTATTATTGGGTATTCAATTTGTAATTTTTTTTTTAAAATTTTTTTTACTTATTAATCCCCGAGTTTGTCAAGGACTTTGTCCGACTAACTCTTAATACAAGTTATACTGGGTAATCACAGCACGTAAGCCAAACCTTGAGCTATTCGTTCAACTATTAAGATTTTAATCTCTTAAAAATTTAGGCATTGACCAACTGAATTAGCTCGGTTAGTTAGATACTTATTTAATTCTACTAACGATATATATGTTGGCAGAATTGATAATGTTGGGGTTCATCTCTTTGTTGCTGACTATTAGTGAAAGGCAAATTGCAAAAATATGTATTCCAAAGAGTGTGGGTGAGACTTTTCTTCCATGCCAACGCATAACAAGTGATGGGGAGGAGGCAACCAAATGTGCAGAGCAGGTAATAATAATGTTTATACTTATATTTGAATACTGAATTTAAATAAGAATTAAAAAAAGTGGGAAAAACATTAAAAAAAAATATATAAACGAATTTTTTTTCTATCTTAATTTTTTCAAGTCTTTTTTCAAATCACTATCATCCAAACACAACGTTAAGAAGTAAAATGGAGATAAGTATCAAAGTTCAACTCTTAATTATTTATATTTGGAAAATGATATATAAATTTACTTTTTAGATTTATTTTCTATATTCAGTAATGTGTTAAGAAAATAATTGATTAATAATTAAATATTAATTTAAATGTTCATGCTTTACATAAAAGTTCCAAAAATAAAACTTTATTAATCCAAAGTAGTAGTAGTGGCGAATCCAATATTAATATTCCCCAAATGATTGAATGGCAAAATATAGATTTACCTGTTCAAATCACTATCATCCAAACACAACGTTAAGAAGTAAAATGGAGATAAGTATCAAAGCTCAACTCTTCCTTATTTATATTTGGAAAATGATATACAAGTTTACTTTTTAGATTTATTTTCTATATTCAGTAATGTGTTAAGAAAATAATTAATTAATAATTAAAAAATATTTAATTATTAATTAATTATCCTCTTAACATATCATTAAATCTAAAAATGAATCTAATTTTTTATTCGGAATAACAGTACTTTTTTTATTTTCACACCTTTTGGTACTATTGGCTAAATTATCGCATTTTTTACTCTGTAATGCCGTGGACCCCACATTCAATGATGTTTTGGGCCTATCCACCACCACTATGAATCATAGAGTAAAAAATGTATTACTTTAAACTCGCCACCTTAATCATACTCCAATATAAAACAATTTTGGTTGTTATATATAATGGTTTTTGACAACATGATCTACTTTTAATTTTATACTTAGGTTTATACGGTATTTGATTTTCTTTTTTAAGTTCTAGGCTCTCAATAAGGTTTGATGTTATGTTGCTTTTTATTTTTTTATTTTTTTTTTATATATTAGGATAAATTATACTTGGGTAAATTATACTGACACTTCTTGAGATTTATGTTTATTACAGTTCTCCGTATTGCCAATGTAATTATTTGACGGTGTTAATTTTTAAGATAAAATAACATATTTACCCTTAACCTTTAGATATCCTTTAAAGGGTAAATTACATTGACACCCCCTAAGGTTTCAATTTAATACGGATTCCCCCTTAAATTAAAAAAAAAATTAATAAAAATAAATATGAAGAAATATATTTAATTTGTAAAAAATTATTTCTAACTACTCAAAAGATAAAAATTATATAAAAATGATAATTATTTTATATTTTTTATTTCTTAACCAAATTAATTTTTATTTTGTTGCTAAAGTTTTTTTTTTTTTTTTTTGGTTTAGTAACTTTTTGTGACAAATTGGCATGTATAGATTTGGATTTCATCTTATGATGTTTTGTTTTGTTTTGTAATATGTGAACAGGGAAAGCTTTCTTTATTATCAAGAACAGGTGTCAGACAACTCCAATTCTTAATCTTTGTGCTAGCCTTGTTCCATGTTTTCTCTTGCTTCCTTACATTCAGCCTTGGAATGGCTAAGGTAATTTTATTGGCGTTCACTTGAGGTGCTACTACTAAATACACAAAAAATTTCCCACAACATCCACAATTGTAAAATATAATTCCCAAATAAAGGTCAGTGTGAAGAGAAATATGGTTGGTGTATTTTGCAACACTTACGCTGTGTTTGGTTAGGAGATTTGGAAAATAATTTGAAAAGAAAAATGAAAAATGAATGTGAAATGTGAATAAAATATACCTACATTTCATCTAGTTTCATATACTTTTTCTCTTTTCTTTTCCAAATTCCTTCTCAAATCCCCCCAATCAAATGCAGTATTAAAGTCTATTCCTTTTTTCTTTTCTTGACATTTTCTTGGCCATCACTATCCTTCTCCCTTGCATGGTGTCAATGTTTTTGACTTATTTTGAATTGTATGAGAAGGGGAAGGGAACTTGTACAAGGAATCCCTTTATAGAGATATTTTGTAACACTGGAAATTTTAGACCCACGTTTACAATAGTAAAACATGCTATACAAATTAATATATATATATATATATATATAAATTTTATATTAACTAATGTGTCGTGTAATAGGTGTCATATGATAAAAAAAATATATAAAATTTATTAGTTTATATAATATTAGTCTTTCAATATATATGCTTGCTTTATGTTGGGAGATTTCTCAGATGAAAAGGTGGAAATCTTGGGAGGCACAAACAAGAACATTGGAATACCAATTTTCAAATGGTAAGCCTTTAATTGTTCTTAAAAATTGCATCGTTAGGCCAATTTTACATGAGCTTCTATTTATTTGGTTTGCTTTTGGAATTATAATTTTAAAGGTAAAATTTTTAAATTACTTTTCAAAATTTATAATCAAACACACAACTCAAAATTATTCAAAACTCAATTCAAAAATTAATTTAAAAAATCATAACTAAACATACAAATCAAAATTTAATTCAATTTTTTTTTTTAAAACTCAAAACCAAACTCTTTTCAAAACTCTATTTTAAAAGAAACAAATTCAAAAATTCAAAAAAATATTAATTAATTAATTTATTTTAAAATTATTTTTAGAATCATGATTTGAGTGTATAGTCATGTTTTGAGTTATGAGTTTTGAAAAGAAAAAATTTGTTTGGTTACGTGTTTTGAAAATAGTATTGAGTTGTATTTTAAAAAATTTTAGATTTTTTTTAAATATTTAAAAAATTTCTTAATTTTATTTTTTTAGGGTAAATATTTTATATTTTAAATATTTATTTATTTATTTTAATGTGCACTATATTTCATACATTTATGTGATGTATCTTTTTTGATATTAATTTTTTTTAAAATTATTATTTTATTTTAAATATATAAATTTTTTTAAACAATTTTTTATTTTATTTTATTTTATAAATATATTTTTAAATATTTTAATTTTTTTTGTTATGTGTTGGTTATGATTTGAGTGTAGAGTTTTGAAAATAGTGTGGGGTTTTGAATTATGTGTTTGGTTATGAGTTTTGAAAATAATTTTTAAATTGAATTTTGAGTTATGTGTTTGGTTATGATTTGAGTGTGGAGTTATGTTTTGAGTTTAAAATATTAAAATTAAAAATTAAAATATTTACAAAATAAAATAAAATATAAAAATAAAAAATTATATATTTAAAATAAAAAATAAAATTTTCTTAAACATTTTTAATATTTTAAAAAAATATATCCAAAAAATTCAAAATACAACTCAAAATTCAATAACTCAAACTCAAAACTGAAAATACAACTGAAAACTCTTTTTAAAATTCAAAATTCAAAAACTAATTTCAAAACTTATAATCAATTTTTTTTTTCCAAAACTCAACTTACAATTCTACACGCAAATCACAACTCTAAAAAAAAAAAATTACAATTCCAAAACTAAACCAAATACAATCTATATTTCTCATCACACCTCTTTTATGCATTGTTACATTTGTACTCTATGAGAAAAAAAGGAAAATGCATTGGACCCCCAGTGAGGGTGACCCCCACCACCCCACTGTTTTCTGATTGGTGGAAATATATATATATATATTTTTTCTAAGTCATTCTTGCACAACCCCCCACGTGGAGGTGGGGTGCTGGGGGGCTCAGGGAGTCCCCAGAGTTCTGGAAAAAAAAATACTTGTACATCTTTGTATAAAGAGATATTAATGTTGTGTAATATTTTTATCTTTCAGTTGAGTAAGATGACTAATATAACCTTCACGCTTCGGTTAAGATAGGGTATTAGTAGAAGTCGTTCCAAAAATACCATGCCATTATGAATGTTTCCTTCCTTGTGATATATAAAATTACTAACAATTATTTAGAAAAGCCTTTTTCCTTTCATTAATTCTTTCGGGAAAATTTGTCGGATTTGAAAGGAATTAAGCTTTCTTTTATTTTTCATTACTTATCTAGAACTGTCACAAGTTGTTATTTGTTTTAATGAATTTAAAAAACAATACCCACTAAAAACCAATTCCAAAAGGTTTCTTTGCTTGTTTTTAACTCTTGCTCTATTAAAAACCATGCATGTTATATATCTAAAAAAAATTCCAATTAGTTTCAAGTATTTTTGAAAAACCAATCAATTTAATTTGTCTCGCCTTTATTTGATTTTGTGTAAATCAACTTAGATCCAAGAAGGATCCAACTCACTCATCAAACATCATTTGGGAGGCAACATCTACAATTCTGGAGTGAGCACCGGTATCTTCGCTTGCTGGTTAGTTTTACAAATCTTAATACCACCATTAATTTTAGTCACATTTGCTTAGTTAAATTATTGATTTGTGTTTGTGAACTTTGTAGGCTTGTTTCTTTCGCCAGTTCTACAAATCCGTCTCCGAAGTAGACTATTTCACTCTCCGCCATGGATTCATTATGGTATTCCAATAGTTTAATTTGCAAATTTTTGATTTTGTTAGTTATGTAATTAACATGAAATACTTATTATTTGCTATTGTCTCCTCAAGGCCCATTTTGCAGAAGGAAGCCACTTTGACTTCCAAAAGTACTTAAAAAGAGTTTTAGAGAAAGACTTCGGAGTAGTAGTGGGAATAAGGTAATATAGAATGGCATTTGATGATACAACATTTAATCCATCAAAATAAGATTTAATTATGAAAATAATGTTTCTTGAAAATCTATTTTTTGCAGCTTCTGGATTTGGATCTTCTCAGTGGTTTTCATATTTCTAAATGCACATGGTATGTCTAGCTTTTTTAAAATAAAATTTAAGTTGTCACCTAGATTTTCTGAAAGAAAGGGAAAAGAGAAATGAAAATATTCTCCTATTTGGTTGTGTTTTCATTTTATGTTCTCAATTTCAAGAAAATGCCAAAAAACAAAAAAAAAAGAACAAAAAAATGGTGAATTGATTTCGAATTTTTTTTTAATAAAACCAAACCCCTATTTAGAAAGTACCAAAAAGTTATTTTTGAAAATTTAAAACCCTTTTTGCACAAAAATAAATAACAAAAAGAAAATGATGGCTGTTTTCAAACTTTTCATTGGTTTTGTTTCTGAAAACAAGAAAAATGAAAATGAAGAAAACAAAAAGGCAATCAAACAAAATTTTTTTTTTCTCTTTTCCTTCTCTCTCTCTCTCTTTTTTTTTCGTTCACAAATTGACATCCAAAACATTCAAATTGAAATTTCTAACTTGAGTATCACTAACTAAATTCTTTTTTTTTTTTTGGCAGTATTTTACAGTTATTTCTGGCTTCCCTTTATTCCATTAGTGGTAAGTAAGCAAATTAACTTGATCAACAATTGCATCTCATAGAAGCAAAATTGCTATAATTTGATAGTCTAATGTACTATATATAATTTTGTATTTAATTGCAGATGCTATTGATAGTAGGGACAAAGCTACAGGCTATCATAACAAGGATGTGTTTGGATACCAATGATAAATCTCTCATTGTCTTAGGAACTTTGCTTGTTAGGCCCAGTGATCACTACTTCTGGTTTGAGAGACCAAAATTACTTCTCCACCTTATGCACTTCATTTTATTTCAGGTGATTCTCTATCCTTGATTTTGATCTAAACTAACCTAGATTAATTTTGAGTTTTTGTTTTGAATTGTCTAGGAGAATGTTTTTTGTATTTTCAAAAAAATAAAAATAAAATAAAAATTGGTCACTATAGTTTTAGAGAGATTTTACTTTTGGATCTTGTAATTTCATTTTCATAATTTTTAACACTATACTTTTATTTCCATTTCAAATATAGTCCCTTCATCAAACTTTGTTAAAACTGCCAAAGAAAAAAAAAGAGCATATGCAGCTTACATGGATGGGACACATGAACTCCTGTGGTTTGCATTTCTCACAAATTTTGACGACTGGACAACATTGAAATGATAATAAAAATCTAGAGTTACAATTGACAAAATAAAAACTATAGCAACCGAAGTGAAATCTTATTGAAACTAAAGGATCAATGATATAATTTAACCATAAAAAATTCATAAACTCCCATTGTTTCATATCATTTTCATCTTTGAGTGAAAACATTTTTTTTAAATCCAAAACACAATTTATATATTTTTTTAAAAAAAAGGTATTTCAAGTAAACTTTCCAGAAAATAATTTTTAGAAATAGTTTGCCAAACTGATTTTCGGAATCAGTTTTCATTTTATTTATTTATTTATTTTTAAATTTTCAAGAACAGAAAATAAAAAAAAGAACATACCAAACACATTAAAAGAAGAAACAGAGAAATATTATGCAAGATTTAATTAGCAGTGATTTGTCCCTTAACATGTCTTCTAAACATAATATGACTCTTAAAACTACTCTTTTTTTCTTTTGACCCCGAAACGATTTTCAAATTTTGTTTCTCAAAAGCCAGAAAAGTACTTCCAAATCCAAACCCATTTTACAAATTGGTGTGTTAATTACTCAGTTCTAAACACTATTTTTGGGCTTTGCAGAACTCATTTCAACTAGCATTCTTCACATGGACTTGGGTAAGTTTATTTTATTTATTTATTTTTATTATTATTTATTTTTAAAGATTAGTAGTGTCTGAATTGCGTTCTATTTTTAGCAATAAACTCCATTGCTGACATTTTTTTTTTATTTCAATAAAATAAAATAAATATCCAACAGTTCAAATTTGGGTTTAGTTCTTGCTTCCACCAAGGAACTGTGCATATTGCCATACAGCTTTGCATGCTTTTGGTGGTTCACATCCTCTGTGGCTATGTAACACTGCCTCTATATGCTTTGGTTACACAGGTAACACACAAAAACTCTACTGCTCCATTTGTCCTACTAAAGTCATACTTTTTTCAATTTAGTATAAATTACAAATACATTTTTTAAATTTTTTTTAAAATACGAATTATTCTTTATGATTTTAGAAATTACAAATAACCATTGTTAGAATTTTTTATTTAATAGAATGAATAAAGAAAATAAAATTCTTAACTAATCTTTTATACAACAATAAAATTACTGAAATTATTAATTGAAATATATTTATGACATTATTAAAAAATATTAATTGATTTAATGATTCATTAATAAAATAAATCAGTTATTATGTGATTAAAAATTTAAAATGACGGAATGTTATTTTTAAAATCATATAAACACAATTTGAACATGGCTCTCTCTATGTTCCAAGGGTCACTCCACCACACGATCAACCTAGAGAGATAAAATGGGACATGGGACGACATGATCCAATGTGATGATTCTCAAATAGATTTACTTGTTTAGAATCATCATACCATCTTAAAGATTGGGAAACACTATGATGTATATTTTTAAAAGGTATAACTGAATATTATGAGAGTTATAACTAAAAAAATTGAGTTATAATCAAATATCATATGAAATATAACTAAATAATTTTTAAATTATAATCAAAATAATGTCATAATTAATAATATAATAGATTAACCAAGAACACAAAAATCATAACTAAATGTGCGTATGGTACACACCTTAAAGAGAGTGTGTACCATAAAATTTCCCAAAAACTATCACTTATCTATTTTAAGAGTGCAACTTGGGCCGTCTAACTTTAGTAACTAGAGTTTAGTTTGCAACATTTTAGGGCCTGGTAATGTAATTTCAAATTTGATCAAGACCTCAGTTAAAATTTTATAAGCTCCAATTAAATTCGGAAAAGACTTGGGCGTGAGTATTTACAAGCTCATCAACTTGGATTCTATTGTTAATATATTTAAATTATAGAGCAAAATTACACTTTTCAACCTTGTATTTGAATTAAATTCTATTTTGGTTCTTATTGTTTTAAGTTAAAGAATGTTAACCTTAAACTTTAAATCCAGTTTAATTTAATCCTTTAATATAAATTATTGTCAAATTTTTTCTACGTATACTTGTGTGATTGATGTATGTTAAAAAATCATTAATTTGAACGTTAAATTTGGACGAAAGTACTAAACTGAAACTTACCTTAAAGTTTGGGTTAACATTATTCAAATTGGAAAAACTGGAGGAAGTGCAGTCAAACTATAAGTATGAAAAAAATTTAATTTTCTTTTAATTTTATATAATAACATGAAATATTTTGATTAAGCCACATCGCAAGGTAATACATTGTACTATAACTCAAACCAATTTTTTTATTTTTTTATGTTTCGTGTTTGTATTTTTTTGAGATATTTTTCATTTTCTATTTTTGAAAATGTTATATGTTCGTTTAGGACAATTGAGAATAATCATCTTATTTAAATTTGGGTTGGGCTTGGGCTTGGGCTTGAGCAAGCAAATTCGGACAAGGGTTAGGTTTAGGTTTGAATAAATCCTTATACAGTTAAGTGTAATAATGAACAGACTCTCATAGCCTTAGTTATATCCATTTTTTTTTTTAAATGTTCATTTTGTTAGAAGTAAGATTTGTGATATACCAATTTGAAATGTGTAAACAGATGGGAACATCAATGAAGAAAGTAGTGTTAACTGAGGAAATGGTTAAAGGTCTAAAAAGATGGAGAGCCAAGGCCAAGAAGAACTTAGCCAGAAGGAACACCAGCTCAACACTTCACTCCTTGGATGCTTCCATTACTTCTCTTGACACTTCACCTTCTTTCAACACCCTTCATCGTTCGCCCTCCGTAGACCTCGATAATTTGTCAATTGATGGTGATTTTGTTGCCGTTGAAGTAAAAAATGAAGACAATGTTGCCGGAAAAAGAGTAGAACACCATCAGAAGTTTGGATCATTTAGGGGTTTTGACTTACGCGAAGCACTGTAATTTTGCCTACATTTTTTTGTATTTATTTTTTCTCCCTAGTTCGGTATAGCGGAAGTCTTGTCACTACAAGAATTTTTACTTTTGGCGACTAAATTTTTAGTCGCCAAAGTTAATTTTTAGTTGCCGAATGGTTTTGGCGACTAAATTATTTGGTCGCAAAAGTAGTCGCCAAAAAATTTAGTAAAGTTAATTAGTGACTAAAATTATTTTAGTCGCCAAATGTATGTAATACCTGACTAAGATTTTAGTCGCCAAAATGTTGGACATTAAATTAAATTAGACCATTTTCAGCGACTAAACTTTTAGTTGCCTAAAGTCCTACCTTTTTAGCTACTAAAATTTTAGTCGGCAAAGAGTTTTTTTTTAACTACTAAAAATTTAATCGCTGAAAGTTCTATATTTTGGCTATTAAAATTTTAGTCGGTAAAAGTATTTTTATAATTTAGTTTTTTATTTTTAGTTACAAAATATTTTAGTCGCCAAATGTTTAATTTGCTTTTGACTACTAAACTTTTAATCGCCAAATATCTTCTTTTTTTTTTTTTTTTTGGGCTACTAAACTTTTAATCGCTAAATATCTTTTTTTTTTTTTGCTACAAAACTTTTAGTCGCCAAATGTCTTTTTTTTTTTTACTACAAAACTTTTAATCGCCAAATGTTTTTTCCTAATTTCTTTTTAACTACTAATTGTTTAGTCGCCAAAAACATGATATTACGTTTTATCACGAAATTATAATTTCTCCACAATCTGTCTATATACAATGCAACCTGTAATACGTATATAAACAAAATGATACATACTATCATCATTCCACAATCTTCATCCATATACCAAAAATAAATAACATTAAATATCAAAGTCCATACAAATCAATTATTGTCCAAACTAAAATAATAATTCCATACAAAATATATCATACAAGAATCAAAGCCCTCCGTATACAAAAAACACATTTACTACCAAGCAAAGTTATCATTTGGCATGGTACAAATTACCATTGTAATCTGTACCACAACAAAATGTGATATATGTACCACGACAAAAGTTTTCTATGGACCATGACAAAACATTCTATATGTACGCTGACAAATGGTATATATGTACCACGACAGAAGGTGATCTATGTACCACGATAGTCATTATCTGTTGATTGTCAAAAGTTTTCTGTATCAGTAATAATGAACTACACAAAAGCTGAGGACGACAAAAGTATTATATTAGTTTTATGCAAAAGTGAAAATTCTTCTCTATACACCAATATGGATTATCCACAAGTCCACGCAACAAAACCATCTACAAAGAAAAACAAAAAACGAAATATTAGAATTGGTTACAAAATATCAATTCAATCAGCCATATGAAACATGTTCTAACATGCATTTAAGGTAGAACAATCGAGAAATGTCTTCTTAGAAATAAAAGAAAGTATATATATATATATATGTATGTATCATGCAATATTTATTCCAACCAACTGCACAATATAATATGTAATTTCTTCGTTCTATAAATGAAGTTGCTTTTTTAACTAAGTGTTGCAAGTTTTTCGACCAAGTGTAAGGCGTATTTGGGGGCTGTTATGAATTTTTGCCCTGCAGAAACTCCATTTTTCGACTAAGTTTAGGGCATATTCGGCTTTAACTCCCAACCTACGGGTCCGAATTACGTTCCGTCAATTCTCACAAGTCCTATTTGTCATTGGGGAACTATTCGTATGAGCCACACGGTGGTTCAGGGGCTGTTTTGAATTTTCGCCCTCGAAACGCCCTTTTTGGACTATGTTTAGGGCGTATTCAGCTCTAACTCCCAACCTACGGGTCCGAATTACGTTACGTCAATTCTCACAAGTCCTATTTGTCATGGGGGAACTGTCTGTGTGAGCCACATAGTGGTTCGGGGGCTATTTTGAATTTTCGCCCCCGAAACGCCCTTTTTCGACTAAGTTTAAGGCGTATTTGGCTCTAACTCCCAACCTACGGGCCCGGATTACATTCCGTCAGTTCTCACAAGTCCTATTTGTCATGAGGGAACTGTCCGTGTGAGCCACACAGTGGTCAGGGACTGTTTTGAAATTTCGCCCCCGAAACGTCCTTTTTCAACTAAGTTTCGACGTATTCGGCTCTAACTCTCTACCTGCCGGTCCGAATTACGTTCCGTCAGTTCTTACAAGTCCTATTTGTCATGGCGAAGCTATCTGTGTGAGCCACACGGTGGTTCGGGGGCTATTTTGAATTTTCGCCCCCGAAAAGCCCTTTTTCGACTAAGTTTTGGGCGTATTCGGCTCTAACTCTCTACCTACGAGTCCAAATTACGTTTTGTCAGTTGTCACAAGTCCTATTTTTCATGGGGAAGCTGTCCGTGAGAGTCACACGGTCATTTTGGGGCTATTTTGAATTTTCGCCCCCAAAACGCCCTTTTTTGACTAAGTTTAGGATGTATTCAGCTCTAACTCCCAACCTACGGGTCCAAATTACGTTCCGTCAATTCTCACAAGTCCTATTTGTCATGGGGGAACTGTTTGTGTGAGCCACACAGTGGTTCAAGGGTTGTTTTGAATTTTCACCCCCGAAATGCCCTTTTTCGACTAAGTTTAGAGCGTATTTGGCTCTAACTCCCAACCTACGCGCCCAGATTACATTCCGTCAGTTCTCACAAGTCCTATTTGTTATGGGGGAACTGTCCGTGTGAGCCACACGATGGTTTGGGGGCTGTTTTGAATTTTCGCCCCCGAAACGCCCTTTTTCGACTCTAACTCTCTACTTACGGGTCCGAATACGTTCCGTCAGTTCTCACAAGTCCTATTTGTCATGGCGAAGCTATCCGTGTGAGCCACACGATCGTTCGGGGGCTGTTTTGAATTTTCGCCCTTGAAACGCCCTTTTTCAATTAAGTTTTCAATTTTCGCCTCCGGAAAGCTCTTTTTCGAGTAAGTTTAGGGCGTATTTGGCTCTAACTCTCCACCTACGGGTTCGAATTACATTTTGTTAGTTGTTACAAGTCCTATTTGTCGTGGGAAAGCTGTCCGTGAGTGTCACACGGTCGTTCAGGGACTGTTTTGAATTTTCGCCCCCGAAATGCTCTTTTCATTTTTTAGTTTTTGGTGATAATATATAATCATAATGATAAGCTTTGATTTAACAATCAACTCTGTACCTTTGTTGGTTGGATGGCATTATTGTCTTCCTTACAGCCTGTACACCATATGGATTTTACCCATCTATTTGTAAATTTTGGAAGAAAAAATTTAGAGGGCAATTCAATTTGAATTCATTGGATAGTCAATGTCTAGTCAAATACATTTCTCTGAACTTAAGAATTACTGAAAAACAGAGTGATGCAATTTTTTATACCATTGAGTACATTTCTATGGTAACCTAAGATCATAACTGTGTGGAGAAACAATGTGTAGTTTATGTTGCTATAATATTAATTTTAATTTTGGTTTTTGAGCCTTTTGTTTTAATTAGTTTATCGAGATTTAGTTTTTGAATTTTTTTTTGGAGAGTTTTGCAACTTTTCTAACTGTACTCCCTAAACATTGAATTGTATTAACTGTTTACAAACTTATCTAACTGTATAGAAAATTTAGGTACAATTTATGTAACTGTTGAAGAGGAATGATGAGAGTACACATTGCACAGTTGACTAGATTGTTTGCTACTTTTTGTAAGTTCATTACAATGGCCCTGTTTGGTGCAGCTTAAAAGCTGTTTATTTCAGCTTTCAGCTTAATTTAAGCTATTTTGATGTGTTTGGTTTAGCTTATAACTTATAACTTATAGCTTTTTGAAAGTCAGAAATCAGCTTATTCTTTGAGTGGGGCAGGAGATGCTTAATTTATAAGTCAGAAATCAACTTATGTTCATAGTTATAAGCTATAAGCTGTTTAAGCATAAGTTATAAGCACTTTCCCATAACTCTACCAAACAGGGCCAATACAAATGCAATGGCGCAATGGCTCAATGCTAGAAATTACAGATGCAATGGGTCAACTGTTACTTGAGTCCAACAACATTACTTATAGTCTTCACTAAGATTTTTCATTTCTTCTTTTCTGTGTAACAAATTATAGGACTCAAAAACCAAAATTAACATCCAACAATTCCTGGACAATAAGCCTCATCTGACAGATCAAAATTTCAGCCTATTGACAAAATGAAAAATAAAATAAAAATACAAATAACAACTCTAATGAGATTAGTCTATCTCTAAAAGATCAGTGATAGAAGCATTCAAGGTCAAAATCGCATAACGGGTACTATGATAGGCCCTCTCTACCTATACATATTTTAATTCTTCAATTGCATGATCTTAGCTTGCCCTCATGCTTAACAACAAAGAGATAGTATTTAAATTTAGATTTTTTTATTTTAGATAACACCCAAGAAATTGATTGTCAAAACAATGTCAATGCCAAAAGTTAAGAAGACTTACAAGACCATTATGTTTGTGGGTGCGAAGAAAATGAAGCAAAGGTTCCAAACTTTCTTTATTATGGAACATGATTGAAGACAGGTGACGATTGAGAAATTGAACCCCATTGCCAATGGAAGATGACCGAGTTGGTCTAGAAAATGTTGCATTGAATGGCTTAAAATCACGTTCCAGCACAAAATTTTCATTGTACCTAGACCAGGTTCCAAATTCCAGATTCCAATTAAACTTGTGATGAATTAAATAAATATGCAAAGGGGTAGATTAATAATGATTAAACAATTTCAAGGGAGATTCCTTACTCTCCATCCACAAGTTCTTCTTTGAAGCGAAGATATTCTGGAACACTTAATTGTTCCACACTCAATTCATACACATTGACACGAACATATTCCCAAACACTAGGTCTTGGGCGAATTGCTATTACCACAAATGGGGGTAGAACTATAGCTTCCTGCAATTGTGATGTATTAATCAAGTGTGCTAGCAAAAAGAATCTGAACAAAATATAAACAGAAAAAGAATTCATATATTGTGCCATTGTTCTAAAAGGCTTCCAAAGAATATGATTGTGAAACTAGAAGCATAATGCAGTTGGTACACAAAATCAACACCAAAAATAGAAATAAGATTATTTACTGGAAAAGTAAAAGGCTGAAATTTAAACAAGCATGGGCTTATTTTCTATGTGCATTAACAGACTCAGTTTATGCTACTAAACAAATAATCTTCTCATGCTAAATATTAAATAAGAGATGTTAATTTCAATGGAGATCATCTACATAACTGGACTTTTTGTGGATGATGTTTAACAATGTCAAGAGAAGACTAATCTATTACATGGAAGGGAACCATTTATTAAGAGAAACCTTCTTTCATTTATCATTTTTCAAATTGCATGGATTTTTCCCAAATAACATGGTTCTCTATCCTTGACATTCAGTTGCATGAAATAAAAATCAAAACAAATTGAAGAAACTAGAAGAGACGAAGATATAAAACAAGTCTCTAAGCTTCAGAACAATTTATTAAAACGAAAAGTGAAGTAATTTGGGTTTCTTATATATATGTGCACACATAAATATGGTCGATGGCCTTGTGGCCTAGTGACATCACCCCAACACTTCCACAGCAGAGATTGGGGATTCAAGCCCCGGTAGGGGCATGGGTGTTTGGATGGATCTGGGAGGGGTAGGGCATTAAGGGGTATTTGGGAGAATGCACCAATTAAAGAAAAAAACATACAAATTATATATACACATGCAAATACATGTGCAGACACAACCATAAAGACAAAATTAGTTGATGATGTGACAAAATGTAACATTATTGTGTAATGCTATAAACATAGAAAAATTTCACAGAATTGACAATGAATGTAATACTATCAATACTACATTTTTTGCATTTTCTGGAAAAAATATATATATACATACATACATATATATATATATATATATATTTTCGTGTTTTTTTCGCATTATAGCTGCTAGAAACAATTATTAGACTGGAATACCAAAAATAAATATCAATTTATATATATATTTTTTTTTAGTAATTCAATTTCCATGAGTCCTTCAAATGGTCCTGTTAGGTTGTAACCTTTACAGTTAGTGCCGCGCTTACCTGTGCAAACTTCAAAATTTGGCTAAAAGGACTCTCTTTGAGCTCTTGCATGACTCCATTTTCTCCAACAACATTCTCAAACTCATCAATCAGCTGATGATGTTGCAATATCCCCTTTCCCTTAGCAACATACCTTCCAAAATCACAACAAATTAAAACCCAATTCCCAATTTAAAACACGCACACACACACTCACAAAAAAAATAAAAAAAAAAGCCTCATCTCAAGGAAACTTTTTTTTTTTATTTTTTATAACTCAATATCCGAGCCAATTAATCTAGGACCAAGGTATTAGGAAATAATTATCCAAAAAGCTTAAGGTATTAGAAATAAATCCAACAATATATATATCAAGTTAATACTTTTCCTTATGTGTAACTTTGTTGCACATGGAGAGACAAATAGACTGAAAAAACAAGATGCACAATGAGAAGTAAAATAGAGCACACAATGCATGAAGACAAATAAAATAGAGTGCATAATGAGAAAAATACTAGAACGACAAGACAGGAATAGACTATAAAACTTTTTAGTTCACACCATTTTCTCTTTCGAGTATCAACTAAACAAAAATCCATTATTCGTATATTAACTACTGAATCTGAACCATGAATTTTTGTTAACAATTGACAATATAATGTGAACTAAGCAACACAAAAAAAAAAAAAAAAAAAAAAAAAAAAAAAAAAAAGAAAAAGAAAAAGAAAAAAAGACTAGTGTGCAAATAGAAGCTCATAGAAGTAGAGCTCTATTCCTAGAAGTTTTAAGTTAGTAGACTCAACAACCAACAATGTATGGCAAGCAAACAGCAAACCATGCAAGAGAGAGAGAGAGAGAGAGAGAGAGATGAACCTAGAGAAGCCCATTCTAGTATGAAAGCCCATTATTCCTTCATTCTAGTTTAAATCATACGTACAAAATTTAATTGGTTGAGTTATTCGTTTCAAAGGAATTCTGAAGTAATATCATTTGACAAATCATGAACACTTCCCTCCATATAAAGGACACTTAAAAATACCCTGTTCAATCCATGAGTAAATTTTTAGTTGCTTATATGTTTCTAGACATCCTATTCTATCCATGAGTCATACCATTTATCACTGGAACCCAACTCAAAAATGGCAGAGACTGTCCAAATTGTTGAGCCCATCACTCAGCACCTGAAAAAGAGACAAAATTAATATTATAGTGAAATACAGCTAAAAGAATAAAAACCTAATCAATGAATGAGTTTTTTTTAAACCTATTAATTGGTTAAAATATTTATGTCTATAATGAGTGCCTTAAATATGTAAAAGGGCTACTTATCAATGTATAAATATACAAAAGGGTCGTACAAACTATAGCTGTAAAGAAATAGACCACATATATTAGCATCAGACCCTCCATAGGCCCATTTATTGTAGGCAGAATAAGGGTATTGATGAAATAGCTAACAACGAGAAAAATATTAATAACAATAAAATAAATGGCTTCCCATTGAAATAAATCAATAAACTGAAAGAAAAATGTTATGATCATAAGTTGAATCAAAAGCAACAGCGTTAATGCTAGAAAGCAAATTTTCCATCATCAAATACTAGAACAATCTAAATGGGTTCCATTGAAGGAATTCAAATTTAGGCCTTCACAACATAACTACTAAACCAAATCATTTATAGCCCCCTGAAGAGGCAATGTACACAATACATTACCTTGTTCATGCTGTAAACATGTTCACCTTTTCATGTATTAAGGAATCATTTGAAAACTGACAATTAGACAAAATCCATATTCCTTTGCAATTCCTTTAGAAGTGGAGGGGTAACAAAATGACTTCTATGCAAGAATGAATCATCAAAGTCTGTGATAAGCCAAAATGTAATGAAATAGTATTAGTTGGACCACTTACTACTCCCATGTTGCACAATAAAATGGAACTATTGAAATCTCCCAAAACTAACAACTAATATTACTAACTGATGTCTACCTATGTCAAAATATATATATATATATATCCTAGGTGCGCCTTTAATAACACTGGTATACAATAAATACAATGACATAAATATCATTTCAAATTAAGGGTAAAATATTCATTACAAATTGTTAAAATTAAAAAATAGGAATTCATCTCCTAATTTTCACTAGGAATTTTCCCTTCTTTTTTTTTCTTTCTTTCTTTCTTTCTTTCTTTCTTTCTTCTTCTTCTTCTTCTTCTTTTTTTTTTTTTTTTTTTTGTGGTACTGGTCAATAGGAAGATTGAACCCTTTGTTTGAGAATTTTTGCATGTACTTCATATATTGGTTACATAGCTCCCCAATTGAATGGTTCAGTTATACCTTTGGAATATACAGTTCTCATATGGTGCACTTCATTGAATTTATAGTAAATACAATAAAGAAAAATATATAAAAAACATAATGTAAGCAATTGATTGTAAGGAACTCACCAAAATTAAAACCTAATGTGGTAATAAGGGCCTTATTGCAGATCACAATTGAAATTGACGACACCACTGATAGACTCAGTGCGCCAATGGTCCTGAGCTGAAACCTCTTGCTCTCAATCATCTTCTCTCTTTCTTTTCTCCAATCACAACACCTTAATTTCAATCTAGCAACAATGCATAAATAAATAAATAAAAATTTAAAAAAAAACCTAAATTTCACAGCAAATGAAAAAAGAAAATTACAAAAGAAAATCTAAAATAAATTACAAAAAACATCATAACTTATTCTAGATATGCTCGAGAAGAGCACAAATTCGAAAGTGAAACGAACTCAATTTTTCAAATTAAAACCAGTCAATGAAAAAAAACAAATTAAAATCAGTACATGTTAGCCATTCATTCAAAGTATTAGATCTGATCCCTAAATGAATGAATATATGGAGAGATTGGAGAGACTTACAGTTTGAGCTTGATCACCAGAAGGAGAAATAATCAGGGGCTTGTGATTGCGTGTTTATGTATATCTTCAGAGCCAGTGTAACCACCGAACTACAGATCTCAGAAGAGCAGCGTACAGAGAGAGAGAGAGGCGAAGAGCCTGACTGGCATCTAACAGAACTTCTAAATATATCCCATAATCGAATCGGAATCGTACTCTCCATTTTATTTATTGTATGGAACAATGGAGCATAATACAGATCATGAGCCATAATGAACACAATGATCGAATTTACCACTTGGAGCAACAAAAGTGTGGAATTAAACACAACTTGGAGCTCATATCTGCTTCAAATGTAGAAAAAGAGTAAAGCCCTAAAATGATTTTATCAAAATCCTACAACATCAAAAATAAAATCAAACCCTAGATCCGTGATGGTGAAGGGAAGGGGGATAGAGAAAGAAAGAGAGGGATAGAGAGAGAAAAACCTGAATCTGGTTGAGAGGGTGGAGCCGCGATGGTGACCGACGGTAACGAGAGTCGCAATGGTCAGCAGCGGTGGCTGTTAGCAGGGATGGTGAGTCTGTGAGAAGAGGGAGAGCAAGTGACTGTAGGCTTTTGTTTCGGTGTAGGTTGTGTAGACATTGATGGAGAGATAAAAGGGGGGGAGAGAGAGAGAGAGAGAGAAGAAAAGAACCCCTGTTTGAAAATATTGAGAAGAACTGCGCGCCAACATTTAAGGTTTCCCACTAAAATTTTATATACATTTAGTGACTAAACTTGTTTTTTGTCGCCAAAGGCTAATTTACAATGACTAATTTATTTAGTAGCCAAATATTTAAATAACAGCAACTAATATTTTAGTCGCCAAAAGTAACCATTTTGGTGACTAAAGGTATTTTAGTCACCGAAAAGAAATTATTCAGTGACCAATATTTTTGTCACCAAAGATAAAAGTAAAATTTATACTTTTTATTTAGTGACTAAATTATTTTTGTAGGCAAAAATTGCCTTACAGCGACTACAATTTTTTTAATCACCGAAAATGAATATTTGCCGACCAAAACTTTGGTCACCAAAGTTTAATAGCAAACATTATGCTAACCTTTTGGCAACTAACTGTATTTTAGTAGCCAAAAATTGGCATATCATGACTAACAAAAATTTTAGTAGCCTAAAATATGATCTAATGCCGACTAAAACAATTTTTAGTCACCTATTGTCACATATTTAGCGACTAATTTTTTTTAGTCGCCAATAATTAAGATACAGTTACTAAAAAAAAATTAGTAGCTAAAAACCATATTCAATGGCGACCAATGTAATTTTTAGTCGCCTATTCTACAACTTTTGGCGACTAAAATTAAAAGTGTAAATTGTTGTAGTGTGTGCATTGGATTGTCATTTTTTTTTATTCTTTATTCATTCCAAAGGGTACATTGGTGGGGTAGATTTATATAGAACATGTATAGTTATTGAAGCTTCACTTACTATGTTATTTTTTTTAATTATTAATTTTAAGTCCAAGCTACCTAATTGTGATTGATTGGTTTCTCTTTGTCATTGTATTTTACTTTAGGAAAAGTCTACATCGTTACATAATTTTTAGGAAATTGGGCACTGTTGTAGGGATTAAATCCTAAGAGTTTGAAATATCAGATCGCGTATCATGTTGTATTATTAAGAGATCGAAGAGAGATGTGTACCTGAATCCATTATGACGGTTGAGCGGAAACGTGATTACGAGACAACCTTCCAATCCTTTCCTTACTTTAATGCCCTTTAATCTCTTCTTGAGAGGATCAGGAGAATGTGATTTCCTTTTGCATATATAGGCAGGATTGGGGACCATTACCCCTAAAAGTTGATAGTTTTCAATCTGACAGTTGTAGGCAGTTAAAAAACGAACTATCATAACTGTCATAATTTCTATTCCTACCCCTCATAGAAATAGAAATTACACAATGGTATCTACACATTAATTCCATGACAAACATACCCTTAATCCTACTTATAACTAAATTAAATCACTTAAGTTTTAGGCTTCTTAAATGATAACACACATTTAAATATGTGGTCCCAATTAGAAATTAATCTAACAATCTCCCACTAGACCACATATGTCACTTGATAAATGTGTTTAACTTTAGTGAGCTCAGAAATTTGTTATCATGACTTGAGGGTATCTAAATAATCTTGTCCATTAACTATATTGATATAGGATCAAAGCGGTCTTTGTTACATTAATCGTAACTTGACCCATCAATGGTCACATATACCAACACAACCAAATGACATAGATCAATCATGGATGCATAGCATGGAAATTACATATAATGTAATCCACACATGTCTATTTCCAACTGGTCTTACTTAACTTTATTGAGATCAATACTTCAAAATACGTAACAGAGTGTAATAAACTAAATACTTCATTTTGGCAGAAACCAATCCAAGTACATAGATAAAACTCAAGTTTAACATAAAGCAATAATACAATAATACAAATACAAACTCCCACTAAACCAAGTGTTCTCAAATAGAACAACACCCATATGAGCAATGTGCTCATGAAAGACCTTGGGTGGTAGTCCCTTCGTAAACGGATCCGCTATCATGGAGTTTGTCCCAATATGCTCTATGGAAATCTATCCACTCTGTACTCTTTCTTTTACAACTAGGAACTTGATGTCAATATGCTTCGACTTTGTCGAGCTCCTATTGTTATTGGAATATAGAACCGCTGACTTATTATCACAGTATAACTTGAGTGGTCTTTCAATACCTTCCAAAATGCGCAACCTAGTGACAAAATTCCGTAGCCATATTCCATGATTTGATGCCTCATAACATGCTACAAACTCTGCGGCTATGGTGGACGAAGCTATGAGCGTTTTCTTGGTAGACCTCGAAGAAATCGTTTCACAGGCTAACAGATAAATATAGCCTGATGTGGATTTCCTACTATCTTGACATTCAGCAAAATCAAAGTCGAAATACCTAACGATCTCTAACTGATTCAATCTCATATATGTGAGCATATATTTCTTTGTTCTCTGTAAATACCTTATAACTCACTTGGCTGCTTTCCAATGATCCATGCCGGGGTTACTTAAATATCTGCCTAACATGCCAACTATGAACGTAATATCTGGACGTGTACATACTTGGACATACATTAGACTCCCTACAGCCGAGGCATAAAAAATCTTTTGCATTTCTTTAATTTCAAGACTGTTCTTCGGATATTGGCTGAGACTAAACTTGTCTCCCTTAGCGACCGGGGTTTCACCTGCTTTGCAATTTTGCATGCCAAATCTGTTAAGGACTTTTTCAATATAGCTCCTTTGTGATAATCCTAGAATACCCCGAGAACGATCTCGGTGTATTTCGATTCCTAATACAAAGGAAGCATCACCAAGATCTTTCATTTCAAAATTCTTTGATATAAATCTCTTGGTGTCATGCAATAAGCCTATATCGTTTGTGGCAAGCAATATGTCATCGATATATAAAACCAGAAATATGTGTTTACTCCCATTGAACTTGTGATACACACATTCATAAATGACATTTGTTTCAAAGCCATACGAAGTAATAACTTGATGAAATTTGAAGTACCATTGACAAGAAGCTTGTTTGAGTCCATAGATGGATTTGGTCAATTTGCATACCATATTCTTTGGGTCTCCCGACACAAAGTTTTCTAGTTGCACCATATAAATTGTTTCTTCAATGTCACCATTGAGAAATGCTATTTTGACATCCATCTGATGCAAGTCAAGGTTAAAATGTGCAACAAGTGCCATAATTGTCCTAAAAGGGTCTTTCGTTGAAACCGGAGAGAAAGTTTCTTTAAAGTCAATTTCTTGTTTTAGAGTAAAGCCTTTGGCTACAAGACGTGCCTTATACCTCTCCACATTACCATTTGAATCCCTTTTGGTTTTAAATATCCATTTATAACCTTTGAGCTTCACACCAACGAGTAATGGGACAAGTTCCCAAACTTTATTGTCTTGCATAGATTTGTACTCTTCATTCATGGTTTTTATCCATTTATGAGAGTTGAAACTTTGCATGGCTTGACGAAAGTTGATTGGATCATCTTTCGACATTCCATTTTCTGCCTTATGTTCCTGGAGATATACGATATAATCATTCGAAATTGCAAATCTCCGTTCTGTCGTGGATTGCCTTAATGGCACAGGTTTTTGAGGTTGTTGAGTTTGTTCCTCGGGAACAATTACCTCATCTGGAATGAGAGGTTGAACAACATTATCTGGTTGAGGATCCAAATTTACTTCTTCTGCAATGACAGGTATAGGCACTTGCATTTGGTCAAAAGTAGTAGTAGGAATTGGAATTGCTCCCTCTTCCTCCTTAAAAACAATGTCTCTAATTGGATTTCTCCCCCTAAACTCAACATCCTCAAAAAATGTTGCAGTTCCCCTCTCAAATATTAACCTACTTGTGGGATCATAAAACTTATAGCTCCTTGACCGCTCGGCATAGCCAATAAAGTAGCTGCTGACGGTTTTGGAGTCCAATTTTCTTTTATGAGGTTTATAAGGTCTTGCCTCTACAGGACACCCCCACACATACAAGTGCTTTAGACTAGGCTTTTGCCCCAACCCAAAGCTCATAAGGTGTTTTTGCAGCTACTTTAGTTGGTACTTGATTTAAGATATAAGTTGCTGTCTTCAGAGCCTCACCTCAGAGGGACTCTGGGAAAGTAGAGTGACTAATCATACTTCTTACCTCATCCTTAAGAGTCCGATTTCGTCTCTTAGATACACCGTTCATGTTAGGTGATTGTAACAACCTTGACCCATGATTAATGTTAATTCATGCTTAATTACGCCTAATGAATAATTGAAGTGAAATGTTGTATCACATGTTGCCTTATGTGTGTATATATCTATTTAACATAGAAAGATCTGTTTACATTTTCATTTCGGTTTGCGAATTAAAAGCCTTATCGGTATCCGATTCAGAAATTGACTTGATTTATGTGTTGATTAGAATTTTTAAAATTTTATGGTAGGTTCAATTGAAATTCAATTCAGAACAAATTTATTGGATTAATTTAATGGCCACTTATTTAGCCTTAATTATTTATCTTCAAGTGAGCCTATATAACGCTTCTTATATGCCTTTATTCTTTCTTTCTTCTTCATTCAACATATTTGAGCTCCCTCATTCAAGCAAAACGTGAGAGAGTGAGAGAGAGAAGACAATTGAGATCAAAAGTTGGGATAGGAGAGAATTGCCAAGAAGTATTAGAATTTGCCAAGAATTTGGGAATTGAAGCTCCCTCATTTGTGCAATTCAGACTCTAGGTAAGAGAATTAGCCGTTGATCTTGTAATGTAGTTGATTAATGTATGAAAAAAAGTGAATTAAGTGAATTCATGAAGGAATTGAGCTAGAATTGAAGAAAACTAAGTCATTCCATACATGCATACATATTTTCTCACATTTTGGGTTTAATTTCCAAGAATTCCCTCATGCATGTTTTGAATTCACTTTAATTTTGGAGAATCATCAAGTTTCATGTTATTTTGTATGATTTGATCATGTTTTGGGAAGCTTATGCTTAAAGAAATTCATGCATGTCATGTTCATGGAGCATTCATAAATTTTAAGTCGAATTTTTGCACAATTGGCAAGTTATTTGGCCATGATTTCTTGAAAAGATCCTTAATTTATGATG